GATTAAGTTCCTGGTCGACTAGTTCGAGTGCAGAATATGGTACAGGACGTCTCGGACGAAAAACAGGTTTGGCATCTGGCTTTAATGGCAAGTGAGCTTTCATCTTGGTACCGTGGCCAAGGCTATTCTGAAAACAGAGGCAAATTTTCTCTTCGGTTTTTCTAGTGATCTTTCACCTGTCTTTTTTGTAAGTGCCGGGGTGTCCAATGATGAACACGATAGGTTGCAGACATTGTTAATGGGTATATCCATTATACCAGGTTTTTCTAGCATATCTAGACCAAGAAAATCAAGGTTTGGCCGTTCTCTTAGTTAACATATTCCTGTACAGTTAGTTCCATTGAAAGAAAATTCACACTGTAATTCATCAATCAGTTTTAGCACACCATCTGATGCGTTTTTAGTAGTTTTCTTAGATGGCTTGATTGACGGTCTCTCAAGCAAGTCATACTTTTCTCTAGACACTAGTATGACATCGGATGCCATGTCAATTTGAAGACGAGCTGATATGTAACTTGTTATTAGGTTTCCCAGATATTTACTATTTGTAGTCTTTATCAAGCAACAGTGACAACAATTAGCTTTGATTTTCAGAGACAGGATATAAGAGTAGTCTTGCACCACACAAGACTAATACGAAAAAATTAGATAGATTATTCTTTATTCTCGACAATTACGCTCATTACATACACTCTCTCTTCAAGTAACGTGATATAAATTACATACCTAAAACAAAACAAAATTATTTGTTGACATTCACTTTTGGTCAATATGAATCAGACAATTTTGCTTGTGAACACTGGTTTCCTATTACACTCTACAACATTTGTCGCACAAAAAAACTATGTACTTGCAAAATAACCTGAAATATCTAGTAGCAGAAATAATTGAGCTTTGTCGGAATTTGATTCACAATTATTGGTTAATATGGTACTCGTCTGCACTCAGTTTTACACATTGTTTTAACCATTAGACTGTCTCATATTGACTTAATTAAAAAAAGGTAGATAAACATATCAAATAATAGAAACATCTTTGTGCTAAAAACTAACATATCATTTTTCGTTACAGACAAACAACAATAAGAATAATTTATCCAAACAAACTAACGAAAAGTTTCCACTTAATGAATATGGCTAATACCATGTAATTTATCAGTGAACGTGACTAAATATATGAAGCGTTTCTAGTACCCAAGACGTGTCTATCAGGATTTAGGTGTTTACAGGGAGTTTACTTTCCTGTTTTAAACAAATGTGATTAAAATGCATGATGTGTTTCAACTCTAATTTTTACTGTAATAGGATGAACGAAAAACAAACACTGAGAGTTTATCTAGATAGAGAAGTACATGAAGCATAGGATATTTGTTTAATTTCATATGAGTTATAGTGCTGTCGTTGATCATTAACTATTTATCCAATAACTGCTGAACTAAAAGTACTAGGGTTATACTCCTGTTTTATCAGAGATTCTGTTGAATATATATACATCTATCTTTTTGAAACCCTACCATTCTAAGCAGTCATTAACCGAATAAGTTTGCTGTAGATGTAGGAGAGTAAAAGGTCCAACAAGTATTCTGTGGGCTATGTATAATACTCTAGCTGAGAACAAATTCATATTAAAAAATTAAAATAAAGTTTTCTATAACCGCAATATGGTAGTTAGTGTTGAGCAATATACATAGTCAGTTCAGTCATAGTAAAAAAAAACGTAGTCATCATTTTTTGTTGAGCACAGTAATTTTTTTCGCGTCTAAAATCTTGAAAGAACTTAAGAGTATGAACTAGTTTAACACAAATGAATTCCCACCTTGCTTAAACATTTGGTTTGGGTTACGAATGACTTGACTGGAAAGTACACGATTCATGTTAGCAAAGTAGGTACGACCACGTCTTTTAAGACTGAAATTAACATGACAAAAAACTAACTAAAGAAAGTGAACGTAGCGTTATAAAATAATATTTAAAGGTATTGTTAGTTTCACTCGATTCATACGACTTCATGAGCCACATAATCAGTTTTGGGAGAGAAAAAGAATGTATAAGGAGAAAAACGTAACCGAATTCCGAAAGTAAAATGGCTTAAAAAGCCAAGAAATTAAACGTCCAAGTTTGATATTCACGTAGAAACTTTAATCTTGCAAGAACTCCTTAAATATGTGGAAACTACTTAAAGAGCTTACAAGTGAGAGACATTAGTGATGATGGCCGGCTGAATGTTTGTGACGTAAATTAGTCTTTTTGCGCTCATTATCTGATGTTATGTTTCCAAAATCTACAAGTTTGAAGAGGTGTTGTGTTTCAATTTGTATTGAAACTGATTGAAAATATCTCGTCACTCAATTCTCCTGAATATTTAGGACCTGGTAAAATCTTAAATCTTTTGGAATATGCTAACGTTTTGTGTTGTTCATTTACGAGCATTTTTAACAAGTCTTTCTAAACGAATTCCATACTAGAAATCTGGAAAAAGATAATCCAAATAACAAAGAAAGTGTCGGGTGACAAAAATGCAAAATTTGGACCGACAGCAATAGGCTAACTTCTTCTCAAAACAACAGAAAAACTATTTCTACACCTATCTCAGCCTACATTAAAAGAGTAAATCAACACATAACAGTTTGCTTGCAAATACAAAAGAAGTACCATGGATGCTGCTGTCGTTCTGCATCATAATACAGTGTCCAACATAGAAAAGTTAGAAGCATTTTTGATGCGCATTTCTAGACTATACGTTTACCTCTGACTCTATTCCAATACCACTACTGTTAAACAAGTTTGCCAGTGTCTTTCGACAGCTGGATAACCAACTGGTTGTTATTCTACCTCTGTGGAAGAGAACAATATACTGTGCTTGGATGAAAGTATTTTACATATTTACTAAGAAGGTGAACCATAAGCTGTTTGTTTTTTTCTCATTTTTTCCACGAAATTTCATGTAAAACAGTTTTGTTAAGTATGCAGATAATATATATATATATATATATATATATATATATATATATATATATATATATATATATATATATATATATATATATATATATATATAGTCTGTTTACATCCCATTGAAATGAGTGAGTTCTTGGTATTCAATGAACGACCACCTACCACACACAAGCTAGTCGTTTGGTAGAACGATCCTACCGACGGTTAACAACCTTCTGATACTTTTTCACTCTTTTTACTCGGAATCATTAGTGCAATGAAAACCAACGTTGGATCTCATGTAGCTGAGCTTCTTTACAATAACTCCGACTCGCGAGAGAACGCGTAGATCTTTCATTTTCTTCACTGAATATGGAGATACACTTCCCTCATGAACCGAAATACGAATGCTGTAGTCTTAGTAAAGCCTCCTCTTAACCGACCACGATGAACCTGATATAGTAAATACGTTTCTGTACAGTGAGATTCAACACGCCGACCTGTTGATGTGGCTCATTACAGATCATGTAAGGCTTGGAATCGTGGATTAAATCACAATACCACTGACAAGAACGTGATGCGAGACAACGTCAGCATTGACTGAGTGGAGGAAGCTTACTTAGAAGAGAACTTAGTAGAGATTCTCACTACACTAGACAACACCAGCAGTGCAAAAATCACAGCACAACTAACAGTCAGTGACCACGAGAGGACTGCAACCGTTTGAATCAGGTGGACAAAATAGGAGTTTAGGCTGAACCGTGAAGTTTTCAAAACATCTAAAAGATTGCTGCACGGAAGACATGTAGAAGCCTCGCGTTCTTTTACGTTTATCTACCACCAAACACAACTTCATCCTGTCTTTCTAGTTTCTACCTTAAATATTATTGATGGACGCGTGTAAAGCAGTGGCATTATGTTCTCTAGTTTTTAGAACATTTTCAAACATAAAGCGTAGCCCAGAAATTTTGAGATATAGGTTAACTAATGTGTGCATAGCTAAAGCGTGTGGGTCGCAGACCACTAATACAAAAACGGCCAGTTTAACCACTTTTTTATGGAAGTGAGATGACCGTAATAGCGTAGTTTTGCTTAACGTAGTTCCTCATTGGCAACTAACCTCATCTCCCAATGGCGAGACAATAATTTATGAACGAACTAATAACACTCAAGAGAGTAGGTCTTAAATTCGAGCGCAAAATTAGTTTACTCATCTAATTAAATCCCATTTTGGCATTAAAGCTCATGTCAGTTCGTGATGAAAATATTAAATCTAATTCCTAATCGTAAAATCCAACTGTGAATCCTAATGCTAATTCCTCACACTAATATATGAACTACATTTAACCCTGGTAAGTAGGTGGGCGTTCCAAAGTCATTTAAGCGCTGCTGAAAGATCGCCTATTTATTAGTTTTACCCTCGGGACATTTGGATAATTTCCGAGACTTCCCATCGAACCTTTGAGGAAATGTGACAAGTGATTTTAAAAGTTTTACTGGTTTGTACCAAGAATATTCATTGGATAAGGGGAGGAGGGAACCAACAAATACGGCGAGACTATAATTTATGGCCGAACGAATCACGTATAAGATAACAGGTCTCGGATTTTGGCGCGAAAATCACTCATTCATTTGAATCGTTTTCGCACAGTAGCTGATTTCAGTTCGTGATGAAAACCCTAAGTCTAGTTTATAGTCTTCATCATCAACTGTTAACTATAATTCTAACTCTTTACACAGGTTTGTAACCTTCATTTAGTTCTGGTCATTAGGTCAACACCTCCAAGGTTCGTCTAGCGTCGCCCAAAGGTCGTCAACAAATTGTAGTCTCTCCACAAAAACCCTACAATAACTAGGGCAAGTATCCATAAAATTTGGGTGAACTTAGTGTTCGGTCACTACCAAATGATTGTTTCGTATTAATAACATTGTGAAAAATGTCGATTAAGAATCTGACAAATGAGAAGCCATAGCTGTGATATGAAGTTCAGTGTAGATGAAAATCTGATAGGGCACATAAAGGAGGTAGAAAATTGGTAATTCAGTGAAGTGATAGGATCCACTTACATTTAGCGGCGAAATCTGCAAACAACGAGACACGTGACTTCAAATTTACGAGCGTTCCGACAAGGTCATGACAACATTTAATGGCGGGTAAAAAGAAATATAATCCATATAGCTAAGCAATTTATTTATTACTTTCTTAAGGGTGATCTTATCCGCAACGCAACCATGTAAACTTAATGTATCGCACACTGTCATTTGTGCGTTCAAGTAACCACAGATTTTGTCATTTCATAATGTATTTTTAATTAAATAACTAGATTATGTAGCTAACTTTGCTCTGTTTTTAATTTTTATTCGCCACGTTTGACTGCGTTACACTGTACGTCCATTGCACACTGAGATGATTTCTCAAGTCATATTGAGTTTAGTCACACAGTTGATTGTTTCCAGATAGACTGTCAGTGCATGATTTTACTGATGAAAGGTTTGTTGTACTGTAAACTATGTTTCTATGAACAACTGCCTGTTGTCTTCAGTATGAAAGCAGCATATATGTATCCTTCTTTCTTTTCTTAGGTAAGTTCAACTGGCCTATATTTCGTGTTTTGGTTTTATCGGCTTAATTATGTCCATTTAACTACTTTGAGCAACATGTCTGTGCAAATGAAACAATAACTATGATACTTGCTTAGTTTGTTCTTGGTTGTCGTATAATTCAGTTTAAATTCAGATTCAGATTTGTGTAGTAAGGACAGAAGGCCTACGGCCTATGTTATTCCTTTTCTAGTATGCTTCTGTGAGTGTCCAGTCTTCTCTTGAAAGAGTCAATTGAAGGTGCGGATACCACTGCTTCAGGCAGCAGGTTCCAAGTATTGATGACTCGGTGTGAAAACCTGTATGCCAGGGGTATTTTGTTCGTTCTTGGCTTTTCTACTCGCCTGCTATGTCCTCTGAGGTGTCCCGATCTAGTGGGAAGGAAGAGAGAGAATAAGTTAGGTCCGAAATCATTTCTTAGTATTCTGTACATCAATATTAGATCTCCCCTTAGTCTGCGATAGGACAGAGTAAAGAGGTTCAGTTTTTCAAGCCGCTCTTCATATGATAAACCCCGGAGTTCCGGAATCGCACGCGTAGCTGCCCTCTGTACCTTTTCTAGTATGTCTGAGTCACCTTTTAAACAGGGGCTTGCAGCCTGAACACAGTTCTCTAACTTAGTTCTCACTAAGGATGTGTATAATGTGGTGAACATGGTAGTATCAAGCTTAGTGAATGTCCTTTTTAAAGCCCAGAGGGTTCGAAACCCCTTAACTGCGACCTCCCGGCAATGGGCCGTCGTCTTAAGATCATTGCTCACTGTCACCCCTAGGTCCTTATGAGACCGGACTATGGGTAATGACACATCCCCTATGTTGTACGTATTAACCTTTGAATCCCCCAAGTGCATGTAGACACACTTTTCCGAGTTGATAGGCATTAGCCACTCTTTAGACCAGTTTATCATATTATTTAAGTCCGCCTGAAGAGTAAATGCGTCTGTGTCACCAGTTATTACTCGCCAAATTTTTACATCGTCAGCGTATAATAACATTGGAGACTGTACTATACTTGTAAGATCATTAACGTACATTATAAAAAGTAAAGGACCTAGGACGGAACCTTGGGGTACTCCACTAAGTACTGGTCTCCAGATGGAGCACTTGGAATTTATTCTTACTTTTTGCCTACGACCTACTAGGAAATCCTCAATCCATTTTAAAAGAGGTCCGGCAATACCAAGGTTTGCCAACTTCAATAGCAGTCTATTAGTTGGCACCTTGTCAAAAGCCTTACTGAAGTCTATGTAGACAACATCCACTGAGTTTCCGTTGTCTAGCGCAATAATCCAGAGCTCCCTAGCTATAAGGAGGTTCGTTGTACAGGATAGACCCTTTCTAAAACCATGTTGTGCCATGTTCAGCAAGTTATTGGTTTCCATAAATGCTGTTATGGTCCGTTTGATTATTCTTTTCCAGTATTTTAATTACAACACTGGTGAGGCTTACGGGTCTGCAATTTGATGGAACTTGTCGTAGACTAGTTGTATGTATGGGAGTGACGATTGCGTCCTTCCAGTCCATAGGTAACACACCTTGGTCAAGTGACATTTTGAATATCACAGTCAGTGAGGCTGCGATATATTCGGCAATATGTCTCAAGATTTTAGGGTGTAGTTCATCTGGTCCTGTTGACTTCTCCATGTTTAGGGTGCTAAGAGCCTTAAGCACATCGTTTTGGTCGAAGTCCACGGTGAGCAGCTGATTTGTTGACTCTGTAATTGGGTCTGGTTCTTTCTCTAGAGGAGGTTCCTGAGTGAAAACTGCCCCAAAGTAGTCAGCCATAACCTCAGCTTTTTCCTGATCTTCCTCTATCATTTCAGATTCACTTCCTACTTTAATTAGGTTGGGAATCCAGTGATGAGTCTTTGTTCTGTAGTTTATGTACGAGAATATCTTCTTGGGCTGCTTGAGTGCAGATTCTGCCAGCTGCATTTCATATTTTCTTTGCGCTTCCCGAATTTTAGTTATACACACGTTTCTTATCGAGCTGTAGTGTTCCATCGTACCTGCTGTGCCAAGGCGGATGACAACATCCCAGGATTTCTTCTTTTGTCTTAGTAAGCGTCAAATATCCCGGCCTATCCAGGGATGGCCGTGCTTCTTCTTTGGGACAGTCCAGGGTATATATGGTTGAGTTACCTGATTGTATAACTGTCTGAATAGAGTCCATGCCTCTTGTACTGATGCCTTTGAGTCAATTTCCCAGTTCTCAGCCGACGCTGCGGAGTTAATTGCTTGCATATCTGCCTTCTATATGTTAGGACGGGCCGGCGCAATTGTTTGAGAAGCAATTTCAGCCATGAATTTGAATAAGATGACTGCATGGTCACTTCTCCCAAGTGGTGGGAGAAAAGCCGTTTGACCAACGTCCTCACCGTGTGTGAAGACTAAATCTAAAAGAGAGGAAGAGTTTCTTAAGTCGTATCTTGTGGGATCTTTAATGTGTTGGAATAATGCTAGTCCAATCGAGGTTTCTAACAGTTTGGAGTCGAACGACGATATAGATGACTCTACTTCTAAGTTAACCCAGTTTACATATGGTGCATTAAAGTCGCCTACTACAAGGCTTTTACCGTGGTTACACCAGGACTTAAGTTTACTGAGGAGAAAATCATCTGCTACACATTCTGGACTGCGATAAACTACAACTAATTCAATATCTTGCCTTCGGCATTTCAACTTACATCTCACCAGTTCACATGTCCCTGAAACATGTGCTACTGTCTCAGCTAATCTTATGGTTAGGCTACTTTTCGTGTACACAATAACCCCGCCTCCCCTTCGGTTTAATCTATCAGCCCTACTGGTTATGAAACCAGTCAATTGGATTTCACTATCTAATACTTCTGACGTTAACCAAGTTTCCGAGACAGCGATAACGTCCGGTTTTTCTTTATCCACCACTGACTTCAGCTCCGCCATTTTATTTAGTAGGCTGCGAGCATTTGTGTAGCACACTTTTAAGTCTGTGGAGAGCTTTCCCTTGCCACCCAGAGTGGCTTGGGGATCGTTTTGCTCCGAACTTTTACAATCTGAAAACCCTTAAGAACGAGGTTTCTTTCACCGTTTCGGCGACGCTCGTTTATTTCCGCTTCTGCAGCCCTTCTCTTAATACGATCAGCTAGGCTGAGGTCCTCACGGACATATATTCCGGACCCAATCAGTTTACGTGAATTACTTAGAACCAGGTTCCTTTCTTCCACCGTGTTGAATGTAACCTTTAGGAGGCGGTTTTTCTGAGGACTTTCGGAATCCACCTTTTTTCCTATTCTATAAAGCTTACAAATACTAACTCCTGAAACTGTATCTGGGAGTAGTTTACTTAATGATGTCTTAATATGATTGAGATCATGTTCAAATCTTGCGTTTGGTTCAGTGTCTGAAGATTCTCTTATCTTATGAAAAATGACTGATCTCTCAGAGAGATCTGTCTTTTCACGCGGTGAGGATTTTTCTTCTGATAAAGTCCCTTCCAATGTCTTGCTGGCCAGCTGCGTTTTGCCTACAGCCTTTTTCTTCTTATTTTTTTCTTCTTACCGGAGTCCATTTGTCACCACTCAGAACAGCCACACCTGGACTATGTGGAACGGTGACAGTTTTATCCGGATCTTCTATTTCGACTAGGGGTGTATGACTGCCGATGTCAATATCAGGCGACACTTTATTTCTCGTTAATGTCAACGGAGATTTCACGTTCCCGTCAACCGCAGTCAGGTGTTTAATGGGTCCAGTAGCAGCACTTACTACACTGACACATTCTTCATCGTCAGTACTCCTGTTATCAGTGCTTCCACCATCGTTTTTCTTGCAGGCCAAAGCCAATAGGCCCATAGCCTCCTGTATTAGTACCTTTTTATCCGTACAGCAGAACACACAAAGCCAATGCGAGTTAGGCTTCGAGCATCTTTTATAAGCCGTCGGACTTAGTCGTGTACACATTTTGTGATACCACTTTTTACATTCGTCACACTGCATTCCCTCATCAACGGAGAACAAACAATTTGGTTGCCCACATTTGTGAGTCTTACCAACCATTGTAATTCGTTTTAAAAGGTTTAAAAACAAAAAACGATAACAATGTGAACACAAGTCTTAGTCAAGGACTAAAAACAGGTACCCAGGACAAAATGTAGCTAAAAATTTCAGACTTTAACCAAAGAACTCTTAGTTAAAGTAGACCAAGAATGCTTTTTAGTGCAATAAGTACCAAAAGCAAGTATAATCACAACAAGTACAAAAATCACTGCCCTTTTTGAAATTAGCGCGCTGAAGTATCATTATGATATACTTAAGTATAGTGCTTGGAGCCTGTAACGAAACAGATTAGTTTAGTAAGTAGAGTTGCCTGTTTCAAATGTGTATACGGATTCAGATCAGTCTGATTAAGAATAGGAAAAAACGTGCCTTTGATGCTATTGTTGTCATACATTATAAGATAGCGATAAGTATGTTTGGTGTTTATTTCTAAACTGTACATCTATCACTGACCATATTTCATGATCGCTGTCATTAAACAATTTCCCCACCAATACCATCGGTAGCAAAATTGCCCGTAAAACAGCAGTATACA